CTGCGTAAAGAATGATATGAGCTAGACCTTTTAGGATACTAGGAAAGTCATTGATGTAGACATTAAACAGTAATGGACCCAATACTGAGCCCTGGGGAACACCATGCCTGCTAGTTAACCATCTGGAAACAGAAGTGTTAAGGTTTTGAGTCTGTAATAGAGTTCTCTGCTTCCTGTTAAATAAGTATGATTCAAACCATTTCAAAATGGATCCTCTAATTCCATAATGTTCCAACTTTTGAATTAACAAGTCATGGTTAACGCAATCAAATGCCCTTGTAAGGTCACAAAAAATACCCACTACCAGTTCCTTATTATTCCATGCTTTATATACTGAGTTTGTTAAGTTAAAAATTGCATTTTGTGTCGATGCACCATTTCTAAATCCATATTGCTCATCAACAATAATATTATTATTTGTCAACTGTTGTTTTAACCTATTAAAGACTAATATTTCAAATAATTTGGAAAATCCTGTCAACAGAGAAATAGGCCTATAGTTAGATATTTCGGATGCATCACCCTTTTTAAAACATGGTATGATGTTGGCATATTTTAGCCGATCTGGGTATATTCCAGTATATAAGGATAAGTTATAGATATAGGTGAGTGGTTTAGCTATCTGCTCACCGCATAACTTGATAATTTTATTGGACAGCCCATCGTATCCACAGGAAGTCTTATTCTTTAGTGAAGAGATTGTGCTTAAGACTTCAGTTAAGGTAATTGGAATATTAGCTATTTCAGGAAACTTATCAAGAAGGCTCTTTCTAATTATAGGATGTACACCTTCATATATAGGATACTGGCTAATTAGCTTTTCCACAGAGTTTATAAAGAATGTATTAAAAGACTCCGCTGCTTTATTGATGTGTATTTTTTTATTATCACTTCTTAATTCTGATGGAATAAACTTCTTTTTGGATGCATGACCTACTTCATTATTAATAATTTTCCAGGATACCTTGGATTTGTTGGTACATTCAGATAACAATTAGTACAGTTCTTTTGCTTTACTAATGACTCTTTTTATGGCACAATATCGAGTATAATACTCTTTTAATTGAGGATGACTAGTAGCTCTGCACATTACAAAGAGAGATTTTTTTCGTCTACAAGACACTCTAATACCATTAGTAATCCACTGATTATTGTATGCAGCATTTACCACTAATTGCATTGGAAAACATGATTGTATATGTTGTACATAGAAATATGAATTAAAACTAAATTTGTAAAAACATGTAAATACTAAATATGGACTTACTAATACGGACTATGACTAACAAATGACAGACCCAACCTCTCGTCAGAGAGGGCGCCCCAAATAGACAAGACAGTAACTTTCACATAAGGAAAAAACAAAAACAAAAAATCTGGTCATGAGCCCCAGCCGGGGCTCGACACCAAGACAGGCAGAGTGATCATCAGTCGCAATGTGACTTGGACCTGACAACACCTGCCTGTGTGGAGGCTGGGTCAAATACCTCCACCATGACCCTGTGAGCAGTAAGAGGCGATGAAAAGGGAAGTCTCAAATCTGAGACAGTAAAATATGGTCTCGAGTCCCAAGGGACTCAGACCCGAGAAAGACTGTACTGGCAAGGGCCAGCAGCATATACAAAAGGCAGACCCATCCTCTCATCAGAGAGGGCACCATACAAAAACAAGACCGTAACTCAAAGAGTAGTAAAAGCTGGTCATGAGCCAGAGATAGGGCTTGACATCAAGACTTACTGGCTGACTGACCGTCAGTCTCAATGTGACTTGGACTTAATATTAAACTTGAGGGCGGTCAAGCATATGACCGTTCAAGTGACTAGACTGCCGTTGTAGCGAAAGCTACTAGAAATAGTGCATAATCTGCTGTACTGAGACCAGACTGACAGAGACCCCATATATATGTAATACATCTATTATCATGTTTTAACATGTAAAATGTAAATATCCTTTACATTATGACAAATGACTTACTACTACAATGACTCTGACAAAAGACAGGCCCATCCTCTTGTCAGAGAGGGCGCCCCACAATAACAAGACCTAAACTGTCAAACAATAATAAATATCTGCTCATGAGCCCCAGATTGGGCTCGACACCAAGACTGACTGACCGTCAGTCGCAATGTGACTTTGACTTTTTTTTTTCCTTGGCATTACAGCCCCAGTGGGTCTTGGTCTACCTCCATGAACTTCTCCATGACTTAATATTACAGAGTAATATAAAAGGTAAAGTTGTCCCTGTGCTTAACTAAAGCACTACACCGTGAAGGGGAACGGGGGAATGGATGTATAGATTGTATAGATCCTTATTTTCTTGACCTCGGCACTAGCTGGAGGTGAGTGGTCTACTTCACACCACAGCCACTTTACCCCTGGGGAAAAGAGTCCCAAGTATCCATTGGATAGAAGGCTGGATGGCCCCAGAGCTGGTCTGGATGATGTGAAAAAGAGAAAATTCTGGACCCTATCAAGACTTGAACTCCGACCACTCGGTCATTCAAACCAGTAGCTAGTTGCTATACCAGCTTCGCTATCCCACCTTAAAGAGAAAGAAAGACAAAATTCAAGCCATGGATGTGAAAATTTTAAAAGTACTGAAGGAAAAATGAGACAGGAAAGAACTGGAATTCATAACTTGTTAATGCATTTAGAAGAGGAATTACTATAATGACTGGATCATGTGCAAATGATGAGTAGAAGTATACAAAGACAGATAATAAAATTAAATTTTAAAGGAAATGAGCCAGAACAAGATGGTTTGGTCAGATATTAGAAAACATGGAGAAGAAAGGAAAAACTGGCCAAGAAATTAAGATGGTAAGACTGTGGCAAGATGAAAGAGGTTACAGACTTTTTGTCTCTGAACCTGCATAAAATGGAAACAGTGCTACTAAATGACTTGAGAACAGCTTTAAAATGGGCCTGGATTCAGGAACATTATTAGCAACATGATGCTTGTTTTGAATATATTAACTGCTAACTTTACATCAGTTTGAAAGTAAACAGACTGTAAATTATTAGGTCTACTTTTTCAGAGTGATCTGAAAAATGTGACTAAGAATGATACAAATCTAAACAGTACTTCTTTATTTCAATCAATTTCCTAACAACAGAGCAACTTACTGATGCAGAAATTCACACTTTACACTACAGTTGCAAACCACACCTAGATACTGATCATATTGACATCTGGCATTCTGCAAGGTTGCAAGTAATAGTCAGAGGCCACATATATTTGTATTAAAGCAATACAGCACAACTGTAAAAATTCACATAATATCCAAGACACTGACAGATTCATTAAAGCATTTATGATACTTGCTCCAATAGAACTTATACAAAGAAAGGACAGATGCTCATTCTTTTCCTACACATGACCCAAAGACGAACACTTTTAGATACTACTTTAATATCATAATCTATATTATCAGATAGCATGAGTAAAGATACATCAATAGAAATAACAGGTTTTCAAGTAACAAGTGTAATCCAGTTTTTAGTACACTCATTTTTCACATATTCTGTTTGTAATATTCATTTTTTGCTGGCAGAGATCTTGCACTGGGACAATGAAAAAATGTATTCTCCCCATCATATGTGTAATTTGACCAATATAAATCCTATATACAATATCCCTTTGGAAAAATGTAGTTCCATTGCCTCAACAGCCTACTGACTCCCTATTATGCATTAGTTTTATGAAGTGAATGAATGTGCATGCAGTAATCCAATTTATTTGAAGAATTAAGTTCATGCAAACCATTATATTTGTCTCCATTAAACAGGATTCTGTTATTATAGATGCATTCTGGACAAAGGGGTTTACAGTCATGTACATACAGTCCTCAGCCAGATTTCATGACAGCTGATAGGACCATCAGCTCGGAAAGAATGTTTCAGAAACCAGACATGCCTCTTTCTCAGGCAAGCTACAGACACAGAACGTCAAGAAGTAGATATTTCTATTTAGTATGCACAAGGAAAATCTGTCCCTGTGCTTAACTAATTAAGCACTATGCCATGAAAACATATGGGAGAGTGTATGTACAGATCCATGACTTCTTGACCTCAGCACTAGTTGGAGGTACGTGGTCTGCTTCACGCCTTGGCCACTTTACCTCAGGGGAAAGAGCTCCCTGTACCCATTGGATAGGAGGCTGCTTGCACTGCAGAACTGCTCTGGATTGGTCTGGATGATGTGAAGAGGAGAAAACTGTTGTCCCTACCAGGACTCAGGACTCAAACCCCTTGGCCATCCAAACCATAGCCTGTGACTATACCATATGTGCCATCCAAATTCCACTTAATGTCTGTACATATTTTATTTTATCCCTTAAACAATACCAAATTTTACATTAATGCTGTGTTTTGAAGGCTTCTGACTCCTTAGTACATGATCCACTTTCATACCAGCTTCTATAATAACATTCTAATTATAGATCCATACTTACTATGATATGAATAATGGTTTAAAGAATAAAGTGCCTTCAGAGACTGATCAGTTTTATAAAAGAACTTTCTCATGATCAGTTGCCTGACATGTGTACTGAAATTGCTTGGTTCCTGTGCATCTCTAATACAGTTTAGGCCTTTGAGAAGTGGTACTTCACCAACAATTACAGGTTTGAATTGTCTGAGTAATTGCACTTGATTCCTTAGTGATATTGCTGAATTGCTTTAAATGCACAGATGATATTTACATTAATTATTCTGATAGCATCTGGATATCTTGAATTTGCATAGCTTGGCAAAGGGTTGATATGTTAGTACTTCTATACTTTATAGATATTAAACTTAAAATCGTTGAAACTCTTCAACAGCCCTTTAATGGTCTAAAGGCTTTACAGATGTACCCTTCCACACTACTTTTCAAAGTCCCTGCAGAAATGTTTTTAAACACATATTTCTTTTAAATTGTTGCTGCAGATTATGTTTTTCAAACTGTGGTCTACAAGAAGTTAACTTAAAGATATGAAATTGCATTAGGATAACACTGGAAACCATTCTTCACTGATATGTCTTGACAGCTGCAGTGATTATGTGCAGAAGGATACATCTTTTCACAGTGTATACTTTTCATAATCTAGAAGTCTTACATTTAAAATATCAAGTACAGATTCTTGATTAACTTAAAAAAACTCCAGTTATCCAATTTTCAGACATTTCTTATAAAGTGCTTAGAAGAACATGTTCCCTGTGTTGATAACACCCATTTCTTTTCACTTTTCCAAACTGAACAATTTACATCAAAGTGTTTCACATCGAATGTATATGTTGAGATAAATAAAAGACTCAATGTTACTGTTATAACATATGGCTTATACATCAGGATAGCTACCATTAGAATTCAAAATCTGGGACCGCTGAATATATAACAAACTACACATTTGCAACCTAGCATGACAGATTCTGTAACCTGCTAATAATATTCATTCATTCATTCCAAACCAATAATGTAACAGTATACACAACGACCTGATTCTCTACCAGTTAAAATCAATGATGTATCCACCGTCAACTCTTCACTGACCACTGATGGTTTAAACTTATCAGGAAAGAATATCATGAAAGCACTTATTTTGATATTTTGTGTGGATGTTTAAAATAGCTTGCTGCTGCACACAGAGTGGCCTTATTTGCACTTACACCATGGCTCTTTCAACCCACCATTTTCTTGGAAGTCGAAGGAAAGAAACTATACATTGATTGCAAACATATGCAACAAGTTAACTAAATGACACAGAAAGCCCACCTCCCTACCATTTTGGAACTCAAGTGCAAAATACCCTAGGGATCAATGAAAACTGTTACAGCCGAAGCATTCTATTTCTATATATGGACTGCCTTAACCAGTCATGAGCCTCACTCAATGTTCCAATTTCCATCTTGGAACTTGTTTGAAATGACTATGAAAGCTACAAAGATAAACACCATCTAAATATGGAGCATACATTTTCTTTTTTATTGCTGGGTACTATATTCAGCCTCAACTTTCTGTGATTCAGTGGCTTCATGCAGTGCAAAATGTTGACTCTCATTTATTGTTTGACTATTACATAGTACAGTAATATAATGTTAAGTTTATGCATTCTTAAGAAATTGGATTAAAAACCAGAAACTTTGGTTTACACCTTCAACTGGAAACATGTGGTGAAGTCTGGCATTTTGGTGATAGCATGAACAAATTCCCGTGATGAAATATCACCTGACTTACCAAGGTCCACTTCTTTCAGAATCTGAAACACAACAATTCATGGCTTCAGTATGTTTATTTTGCATAATATAACTATTTTATGAAAATAATGGTGAACCAAAATGTGCAAGGCTGATAGCTTCAGGTAAAAAAATGCTGAATAGGATAGATTAAGGCTATATAACCACTGCTCTCCATTATCAGTTATGAAGGATAGATTACACAGACCATACAGCAAATGAAGTCATACTTTCATCCGTAACACATTACATGTTCCCATGTTACCTTATGAAATGACCTAGTGAACATGTTAGTCCATGTGACAGTTGGAATACTACGAATCAGCTTTCAACCATCAAAGAACATGAGAGAAGAAACTCAAATTTAATATTGAAGATTGATGAATACAGATCATGACCTCCTCTATGGAAGAGCTCTTAGCTGCTGTATCATAACTTATGTTATTTGAAATAAATCATGAGTAATTCATCAGGTGGAAAATTGTCTGTGCATCAAGTTTTAGTTAAATGTGTTATGAAAACTTCCTCCCATCATATTTTGGTCACATAGTCAGCATCCTCATTCTGAAATCGAGGAGAGACTGTTCTCTTGTAAATCAGAAGGGCCAGTCTTCATATTTAACAAACAGCACACTAATTTAGAAATACCATGTGATCTATTTAAAACCAAACTCTTAAAGAAAGTATATTTTATAATTCAGTGTACAATCATGGCACTTCCAGGCATTTTGAAACTATATGTACCCTCTACTGGCAGTTTCTGGTGAATGCTGGTGCTCCATGAGCCCCAGATTGGGCTCGAGCACACGTATCTTTAATACGTGTGAGCACACGTATTAAAGATAAGCAGCGACACACACAGAGAGAGCCTACACAGAACAATACCTGAACAGCGATAAAAGAAGAAGTGGCCACTGCAGCACTATAGACATAGGGCATGTACCCCGAGAAAATTTTAAAAATTTGGAAAAAGAAAAAGAACAGAAAATTTATAGACATTTTAAATTGAATTGAAGGTTTAAAAATAGTGCGAATTTTAGAAATCAAAATTGACGCGTGTAGGTTAACAAAGATTTTATACATACATACAATTGGAAAGATTTTAAATTTTAAACTACGGGCAGTGTAGCAGCTACGTAAGAATACACACCTGATGATGGCCATTTAGGGCCGAAACATGTAGTGTGGAGGAGGGAAAGAAGAATGAACTACAATTAAATTGTTGCACTTAAGACGGAGTTTGTCTCATATATAAATGTATTTCACTGGTGAATGTATGTGATGAAATGCACATATAAAACACATTTAAATTAGTTATGGCAGATACAAGGATAACAAAGAAGGATTACAAGGAAAACCAAAAGTTGCAAGATCATCTGAAGATGCCATACATTGCTGCATTGGGTGTGCATCAGATTGAAACCATGTAATAATCATAGAAACCAGTTTAAGGCTCTGTCAGTTTTGGCTGTGGCCTATAGTAAGATTTAACGCTTCTCACACTGTTACCATCTTCATTGTGTATAGGCCCATAGAAAAGTTATGGTCCTTCCTTACTGTAAGAATGTACATAAAAGCATTTTATACTTACAATTTCAATAATTTTCTTCTTTTCCGAGTATGACAGTTGCTTCTTTAATGTCAGTCTGTCAATTATTATCAAGAGATCATCTTCACCAATATAGTTATCATTATTGAAATCTGTAATAAATATTGCTTACAAAAATGTAAAATTTGAAAGCTGTTACATCCACATAATATTCAATATTATTTCAAGTATCACTGTCATAAATAGAATTCAGACCAATGGGTTGTATTATATAAGGGGCAGTCAAATGAAAATGGGTCACCACACATAAATCACACAGCGCACAAGTTGGTATCACTGGAATTTGCTTACAATATGAATATCTGCTAGGAACTCAGGAAAGCACAGTGACATGCCCTTGCACACTAGTCATTTGTTTATTGTGCTGGAAGTAAGATTAGCACTACATGTGGTTGTCCAACATTAGTATTGGAGGCAGGCAAAGAAGAACAGCGAAGTGCAGTGCACTTCTTGACTGCTAAAGGAGTAAGAGGACGAAAAATTCACTGTCGCATGTCTGTTGTTTACGGCTAACACAGCATGCCACATTCGCGTGTGCTGGCGTGGCATAAGAGATTCCGAGAGGGATGTGTGTCACTGCAAGATGATGCTCTCCCAGGACAGGCTCATCGTGTCATCACTCCTGATGTTATTGCTGCATTGGATGGTCATATCTGGGCAAACCGACGGATCACTGTGGAAGAAATTGGTCTTTTGATAGGAATAAGTCATGGTTCTGTACACGCCATTGTGACAAAACACATGCTGTACCACAAAATCTGCGCACAGTGGGTTCCACATCAACTCATGGAGGAACAGAAGACTCAGAGAATGCCTGCATCACTGGGTCACTTGCAACGATACCATGAGGAAGAGTATGCTTTTCTGTCCCATACTGCCACTGGGGACGAAACTTGGTGCCACCATTTTGAACCTGAGACCAAACAGCAGAGCCAACAGTGGAAACACGTGAATTCTCCTCCACCAAAGAAATCCAAAGTCGTACACACAAGCTCCGGTAAAGTGATGATGACATTGTTCTTCGACTGCAAGGGCCCTCTGCTTGTCGAATTTCTCATGGGGCCACAATCAGTGCACAGTGCTATGAAGACACTTTGCAGAGACTGAGACGTGCAGCGGCCTCCATAGTCTAGGGGTAACGTTCCCACCTCGTGACTCAAGGTAAGCAGGTTCAAACCCGGTGGAGGTCGTGGAATTTTTAAGGGCGGAAAAATTCAGGGAACAAGTCCTCCAGGAGGGACTTTAAGCCGTGGGTCCCGTGTCATAGCTTTACGGCACGTAAAAGAACCTCATGTCTCAAGGGGGACCTCTGAGCCAAATTCAGGACATTTCCCGCCCAACAGTAGTCTCTAACGCCTCTGGTAGATGGGGGAAGCATTGAGATACCGCTGAGCCAGTAGAGGCCGAACTCACTGGCTGAGTCGGGACTGATGGCACTCACCAGTACCGGTAGGGTATAGAGACTGGTAGAATATCACAGGGAGATGCACAATGGACCAATATCTGGTCTAAGTGCATGGGGAAACCCACCCTCTCCAATAACAACAACAACAACAACAACAACTGAGACATGCCATAGAGTCAAAACACCCTGAATTGCTATTGAACGGCATTATCCTTCTTCATGATAATGCGCGCCCCCCCACTGCCAACTCTGTGAGGAATATGCTACAAAGATTTGGTTGGGAAGTGCTTCAACATCCCTCCTACAACCCAGTTCTCTCCCCATGTGATTTTCACATTTTTGGAGACCTGAAGAGAGACA